GGAAGTGCCATTCTAATAAAATTTACAAAAGCATTAATGACAAGAAGGGGATTTATATTAAGTACTTGTAGAGCTGGGTCATATCGCAAAATATTCAACATGGTACATGATGCTTAAAATTTTTTATAATCAACTTTTAAAGATTTTATAGAGTCTTTGAATTTATATTATTTAAATAAAAGACTTAGTTATTGCAGTCTAGACTATGCTTTTGGCAAGATATGCTTCACTTTATTTGTAATGTATTTAAATGAATATTTTATAAAGCTAGCTAGAACATAGCTTGGACTAATCTGATCAATATATTAAATCTCTCTAGAGCTCCGAAATATTCAATGCATTACTTAAACTCCAAATGTCAAGCATAACTTATACGATTAAGACTATGAGCTATACTGAAGTTCGATACTTGGATATGCTTGAACACCTTGTCTTTGCTGTCAAAACATGCAACACTCTTATCTGGAATTCGTATTATCCACATGTAGGGAAGACGTGGCAATTTGCAGTTCTCATCTGGAAGCGCATATTTGACTCCATAGCCTTTAGAAACTAGAAAGCTAGAAAAATCATGCTATAGTCACTTCTGGTTTGACGTGGTACTTGTAGCTTCCATTTAGATGGCTCAAAGTCGTCTTGTGCGCTAGTAACCTGGATTTGCATGAATGCCTCAATTAAGCTCCCGGCTACCAGCGCGTTCTTGAAAGCCGGCAAGCTGATGAAGCCACCCTTCTCCAATCTTTTAATTGTTTCAATCTTTTAAGGAGCTTGGTGGTAGTGGCATCCACCGAATGGGGCTCACGGCCATCACCATACGAGTTTGTAGAATATCGAGACAAGCAGAAACTCTGGAGCTGTTTGCCAGGGATACTTCATTCGAGTCTAGAGCCGGGAAGCCTTGGGAGTTGGGAAATCAGGTCCACGATCGTAGACAAGAGAAGCGGCACGTATGAGGATGGTCGCTGTTGCACCCCAGATGAGGTGGTGTTCGCCATTGTAATCGAAGTCGAAGTAATGGACAGGATGGGAAATCCCGAGAAAAGTTCTCTCTCCCATGCGATGGTTCTCGTCCTGAAAGTAAAGCAGTGTTGCCGTGCAAAGAACTAAGAAAAGCGTCGAAGGAAACCTTGAGGAACATTTCAAGCGGTGCCTCAAACATGGAAGCCACTTCGTCGGGATTGATTCTTGGAACGAATTTCTGCCTGTGCGGTAGCAGTGCTATCACCGGCACAACTCTGACGAGAAGCTGGGACACTAACCGACTTGAGTTCTTAGAGAAGAATCAAACTCTCCAAGTAACTTACCTTCGATATAAATGGTTCCAGTTGCGTCACCACTTTCACCAGTGACGGATCCAATCCAATTTCCTCGCGAGCTTCGCGGAGCGCAGTAGAAACTTCATCTTCGTCGCCCTCGTCCCATTTGCCTCCTGGCAAGGCAACTTCGCCTGGAAAGAAAAAGAGAGAAGAAGCTAAGGCAAGATTCTTTTCCAAGATTTACACGCACCTGAGTGTGAAGAAAGCGAGCTAGTCCTCTTGGTAAGGATCACCTTAAGAAGATCCATTTCCTGGTCTAGAAACAGGCAAATCAACACCCCCGCTCGTTGCCGCCAAGGAAATTTTTCCACTTCGCCAGCAAAGAGTAGCTCACGAGACTTGGGTCTCCCAATTGAAGATGATTCCTCAATGCCAGGCGGAGGGGGGAACTGCATAAGATTTCCATACACACCCGTTGGAACCTTGAACTTGCAAAGGCGACGAGCGACATCCTGCAGTCTGGCGCTGCCCCATTCCCTATCGTCCATCGAATCCACGCTGTGGCAGCTCCTCACAGTCAATCTGGAGGGACTCCTCATCACGCTAGCGCTGCATTCCCTCCACATTGCGAAGAGCCCTAGTCGCCAGCAAACCATATTTATAATTTAAATCGAGAGTGACCTTGACTTTCTTTCAGTACTCAGCATTTTCATATTTCTATTGCTACAATTCTCTTAAGCTTTTTAGAATAAGTTGAGTACTATATGATTATGATTTTAGTTTAGCAAATAACTTTTATTAGATATTTCAAGATGCTTTTATTAATGGTTTTTAGTTCTACTTTTATTAAATCAAAAGTAGACTAAAGAGTCAAAGCCTACGCAGTAATATGTAGAGTTGATAATAATATATTTAATTAAAAAAAGATATTAAATTTATGTATTAAAAAAGTTTAGTTTTTATTGGAAAAATTAAAATGATATATTTTTTGTGGTTTGCTTAAGCAAACCTGTAAGGGACTGGAGCGGTAGTGGATATACCTAGAATATATTTTAATATTCTGAGATATTCTACCATCTTTATTTATTTAGATTAATTATATAGTTATAATTTATAAACATGTTTATAAATTATGAACTTTCCTAAACACTTTTTAGTGGTTAATATATAATAAAATTAATCCTGTATTTATAAATTATAAACATTTATATAATTATAAACTTCTAATTGATCAACAAAAAATAGCACATCTATTAAGAAAACCAAGTGTTACTACACACATGTGTAACAAATTAGAAATCGATATATTGTTTTAGTACTATTTTATAATTACTAATATTTTGAATAATAAAATGCTTAATATTGATCTGAAAGAAGAAAGTCAATGCATGATTATTTACAATACTAAAATGTTGTTTACCATATTAAGAATATTATTTTACTTTTAATGAAACTTGTTAACAAATTATACCATTTGAACATAATAGTATATTTCGATTTCCATCCTTATAAATTAATAAATTGAAATTAATTTAAACTTGAATTACTGTGGCATAATATAATTATATTTCTACAATAATTTCCATTTGACCAATAATTATCTCTATCAAAAGCTCTATATTAAACAAAATTACTACTTTCTTGCATTCTTCAGTTACAATTAAAGCTTTTACAATACGTTTTTGTACTCCAAAAGATAATAATAGTAATACAAAATTACAATCAGATTAAGAGCTTTGCTAATGGCATATTCCTATACCCACTAATAAATAAGCCTACTTGAAATTATGTTAATACTTTTGATGTTGATTTTGGAAAATTGATTTTTATGCTATAGAGTAAACCAAATATCTGGATCAATACACACCCTTTTTAAGGAATAATATTTGATTCTAAGTGTTTTCAAGTTATGAAAACTATGGTGTTGAAGTGGACATCTCCCCAGAGGAACTGCAATTCTAACAAAATTTATAACAAGAAGTTTAGTATGGTTTAGACTATGTTTTTGTCTTAAACTATATGCAATCCAACATATTCCAGGGTTCTAAGATGAGCTATGCTTGAACTTATATTTGCTATCCTCTATCTCATGCCAAGAAATTACACTCCAATTTACTCTTGCCTCATTCCAAATGTATAGCAAATGTGGCAACAATGTAAATGTACACTCCGTGGCCCAGAATGGACAGCTGTGAGAATCAAAAGAATATGCTATATCATCCCATGAACACACAGCAACAGCAGTCAACTCGTGCATGGCAAAATCTGTGCTGGCCAACCATTTGGATGAGACTTACAAATGAATGCCTCAAAGAGATCTTGTGTGGAACACGATGCTTGCCAAGATGGCCGGGTCTACTTTGAGAATGTAAGCTCATATTTGGTGCGTACGTGGAATGCCATGGTGGCACCCTTATTTCATTACTAAGCTCACCAGTGATGACTTATTGCTGATGCAAGGGAATATCATGCTATAGTCACTTGACTGAAAATCTGGTAGATGATTCTTGAGTCATTCTCAATTGTGATTGCAAACGTTTCTTGGCATAAAAGGCCGGACAACCCCAGGATCGCTTAAGCAGTACTTGTAGCTTCCCGTTTAGATGGCTCAAAGTCGTCTGGTGCTAGCGACCTGGATTTGCACTGTTCTTTTGAATGCCTCAAGTAAGCTTCCAGCTCCTACAACTTGGAACTTTCTAAATGCTGAAAGCCGCAGGATCTTTTGGGATAAACTTTCGTCTATACAATGGATGCCCGTTCACGGTCTGGCCTGGATGGCTCAACAACGGCGATAGCCCGGCTCTTGGAAATGGTGGCACGCAGCTAGAACCTTACACTTTTATAGACTTGGGAACTCCAACATCGGACTGGGGTGGCCGGTTCTGGGGCCGCAGGGGTTGCGACTTCCAAGGTCTGTCCTCGAGATATTTAATTCTTTGATCTTTGATTTGTGGTTCCTGTAGGCAGCGGATGCAGCACTGGGGATTGTAACAAGCAGCTCTATTGCCAAGGCATAGGAGGAGCTCCCCCCTACAGCATTGCCGAGTTTAAACTTGGTGGCACCCCCAACACCGGCTTGGACTTCTACGACGTCTCTCTGGTTGATGGCTATAATCTGCCCATCCGGATCACTCCCAGTAAGTCCGGCTGCCCCTTCACGGGTTGCCTGAGGGACGTGATTCCGTGGTGCCCGTCCGAGCTCCAAGTTCACGATTATTCCGGAGTCGTGGGCTGCAAGAGTGCGTGCCTGGCGTTTGGCACGCCACCTTTTTGTTGCACGGGGGACTACTCCACTCCCCAGACCTGCAAACCCTCGTCCTACTCGAAAATTTTCAAGGACATTTGCCCGCTCGCGTATAGCTACGCTTACGATGACCCAAGCAGCACGTTTACTTGTTCCAATGGTGGTGACTATACGATCACTTTCTGTCCATAGAATGTTCCAGTTTGAGAAAAACCATAAAAAAAAGAGCGAAACCATACATTTTTATTGGGCTGCTAAACTAATTAGAGGTTCTGAAGCCAGTAACTCATAAATAAATGTGGAACAAAACTCTAAGGCTTTGTAACTGACTGATGAAGATGATGAAGATGAATTGTCTTGCTTTTGCTATAGTGTTTGTGATTTGCTCTGTTTTTGTGTTTCCAACTTCAATGGTTGATGCTACTGCTATAACACCTTCTGGTCGTATTGTCGATGGCAAAGTGTATTGCATAGCTAATCCTACTATTCCTCCTGATATGCTACAGCGGGGTTTAGATTATGCGTGCTCTCAAGTTGATTGTTCTGCGATTCAGTTTGATGGTCCTTGCTCTTATCCTAATAGCATCTATTCGCATGCATCGTGGGCATATAACCTTTATTTCCAAATGAAAGCTCGCTATGATTATAATTGCTACTTTGACAACACTGCATTGATCTCTTCCACTGATCCAAGTAAGATTTATTTTTATTTCTGTAATTATTCTTGTTAAAAAATTGATTACTTTTTAGGCTTTGGGAGTTGCAACTATTTATTTAAATGAAGAACATGAATTTTTATGTAATAATTATAATAACTGTAACTTTTAATTTGAATTTTTCTACTAATTTGGGATTTAAACGTAATTGCGTGCGAATATTCATGACGCCGTTGATCATACAAATTGATCCTGACCGTTCGAGTCCGTTGGGCAAAATTAGGGTTCTTCATCTCCCCGAATGCCGTCCAGGAAGAAGAGGCGCCGCCCGTGGAGCCGGATCGAAAGCGCAGTTGGAGTAATGCAGGTAATCTAGGCAGTTCCTAGCGATCGCTGCGGCACAGGCCGGAATTGGGCAGGGGTGAAGATATGCATACTGTTCTACACAGCAGGGAAATGGATCTTGATTGCCAGCGCGTGGACGCTGCGGCGGCAGCTGCGGCATTGAGCTGGGCGAACGAGGTAGCGCTCCTCGGCGATAGGGATCAATCAGAAGGATTGGACGATGGCGTGGGACACGACAATATTCTCATGGACCAGCACGCCTCGATGCAAGGCTTTTCTTTGATGATGATGGCCGCGGAGAATGGCCAGAGTTTCCATCCCATGATCCTGATGGGCCAGGAATCTACGCCGCCTCCACAGCCGCCGCCGCCTCCTCCACAGCCGCCGGTTAGAACTCCGTCCACTGTGCTCTCTCTCCAGACCATGCCTCCAAACGAGGAGAATTCTTCCAAGGCCGTGACGAAGAAGAGGGGGAGGCAAAAGGGCCCCGGGAAGCCAAAGTCACACTACGTCAAGGAGAGGGACTCTTCTTTCCAGCTCGTCTTGAAGCTCCCGCTTAAGTCGCGAAAGCTCTTTTGCGTGGCCGAGTTTTACAAGTACATGGCGCAGTCCTCCTCGGATTCTCTGTGTAAGGTAAAGTTCTCTCGATCGGTTCTTTAGTCCTTCGGATTTTCGTTTGCTCTTTGGACACTGCTCTGTGGCCTTTGTTTTGTTTGTCGAGAAGAGCTAATAGCGTCTTTAGTTTGACAGGTAACCGAGGCATACGCAAAGGCTGGTGAATCCGTCGGCGTGTCTGGAAAAACTGCGAGGAAATGGGTGGAGGACTGGGAGAGGCGAGCCGACGGTACATTCTCGGAGTCACAGCAGGTTTGTAGAGATTGTTTATTTTCATTAGTCATTTGTAAAAATCCTCCTTTTCTTTGATTCACGCAGGGAAAGCACGTCAAAGTCGAGTGGCTGCTACAACCGGAGCACTTGCAAAGCAAAGCTCGGGCATGGATAGAGCAAAACTGTCCAAAGAAAGGCGAGCCTCCTCGCAAGGACTCCATCATCAAGATGTTTCGCGACTTTTGTAACAACGATCTCCTCCTTGACGTCCAGGTGAAAAAAGTTACACACTTCTAAAACCTCTAAAACCATTCCATCTCTTTTTTTCTCTCTCTCTCGCAGGCTGGAGATCTAGCAGCTGACTCCCTCATGGGCATGACTAGCCATAGAAAAATCTCCACCGAGACGGCCAGGTCTTGGCTCCACAGGCTCGGTTTTAACAACTTCAAGGACTTTAGAAAATCATCGACCAAGTCTCTATCAACGTGAAAATGGTGTAAATAGTAGTAAAACTTGTAACCATAGCTTTGAAAAGTTTGCTCGAATCAATCAAACGAATTCTTATTTTGTCCAATATGTATCTTACAAAACTTCAAGAGTGTCTTTGTAGCACTTATTTCTAGCTCCGGAAAAACAATCGAACTATCCGTTTTCTTCGATCATGGAAGTGGAACTATAACTTCCTTGCGGTCAGGGCCATACGCCTGCAAACAAAGAAGAAAGTTCGCAGCAATCAACTGTGAAGAAAGCTACAAATCTTCGTCTTACCAATTGCTTCAGTCCCTTGACGTGAACGTGCGTAAACAGCTCGTGAGTTTCGGGCTGACCGCCCTCCTGCAAAAATCGTGCCCGAAAGATTTTTAGATTCCAAGGGTTTCACTCGACTTGAGAAGAGAAAGTCCTACCTTGGCTTGATTAACGGCCTCGTCCACTTCTGCCTTGGCTTGCTTCTCCAAGTTCTGTAAAGACCAAGTTGAGAGAAATCTCTGCCAATAGCGCACACAGCGCACTCACCTTCAAATCGGCTACAGTCACGATCTCTTTCGCCAAAAGAAGCTTTCTTACTCTTTCAATCGGGTCTCGCTCCTGGCAGTGGCAGCAAATTATTGTTTTAAAAGTGCAGTGTGCAAACGATAATGACTCCAAGTTACCTGTCTCACGCCGGAATCTCTTCCCTTGTCCGATATGTACTCCCGGGATCAGACATGGAGTGCCCATGATAACGATAAGTATCCATTTCCAACACCAGTCTAACGTTCCCATCCCCCGTGAGGAGTAAAGCCAAAAGATATAAAAACTAGATAAGCTTACGATGGGGCCTTTTGTCAAAGCGTGCTCCTTTGCGAATCGGACGCCCTGCTTGACTGCTAAAACGTCCATTCCATCAATCTAAGAGACAACCACCAAAGTAACAGTTGAAAGAAAAAGAAGGAGACGATCATTGTAGTTTTGGAGCACAACTTGTACCTTAAGACCCGGGACATAATCTCCACGTTTGTAGTATTCTGGAGATTTTGCTGAGCGCCACTCGGCCGTCCCCATTCCATCTACACGACAAAAATTCCACACAATCAAAACGAGGAAAAACTCGTAAAAGTCAGCTCATAACAAAGAGCAAAAGGAAAAACTCACAGTGATTGTTCTCGCAGACGAAGATCACCGGCAAGTCCCACAGCGCTGATATGTTCATGGCCTCAAAGAGTTGTCCCTGGTTGGCAGCTCCATCCCCATACAAAGCCAGCGACACCGCGTTCTGCTTGTTATACTTTTGCGCGAAAGCTAGCCCAGCTCCCAGCGCGGTCTGTGCTCCAACAATCCCATTCCCTCCATAGAAATTCCCCTCCTTGTTGTACATATGCATCGATCCACCTTTCCCGAGCGAGCACCCACTTTTTCTCCCCATGAGCTCCGCCATCACCTCCAGCACCGTGCCACCTCGTCCAATATGCGTGCAGTGGTCCCTGTAAGCAGTGATGATGGCGTCCTCCTTGGTGAGCGCCGCCTCCATTCCCACGCACACCGCCTCCTGCCCATCGTAGAGATGGCAAAACCCGCGAATAAACTTCGCCTTGTAGAGCGAGTCCGCCGCAATCTCCATCCTTCTCATCACATACATCACCTTAAAGAAATCCACGAGCTCCTTGGCCGAGGTCTCCACCCGCTGCTCCGGCGGATCGCACCGGTGCCCCGCGTACGGCACTGGAATATCGACCACGAAGGGCGTGGTGTCGTCCGGCGCCGCCGCGAAGCCCCTGGACGAGGACTGGCGACTCAATGCCGACGACGCGAGGCGGAGTAGCGCTTGCGGCGCCGCGGCACTTGAGGACGACGAAGAACACGCCGAGGAGAGGAGCCGCTGCCGCCATCGCGCCATCGCCATCGTCATTCTCCTCCTTCCTCTTTCTCCCTAACCCTAATGCGCTACCTCCCGGGGTTTAGCTTAACCCACTTTAGTTTAAGTTTAGCCACAAACCACGTCAAAATAACGCACCCATATGACCGTACATGCCGTACTAGCAGTCGGGCTGCCGTACAGATACATCCATAAACCACGTACGACCGTACTTGCCGTACTCACCTTTTATTCTTTTACAAATAGACCAAAAAGACGAGAAAGAAAGCTTTTCTTCCCAAATGGCGGGTGTTCTTGCGGATCGAGTGGAAGTCTTCTCACGCGACTGGTGGTCTGAGGACGTGATCTTGCGAGGTGTCCACCACCGCCGGCGGCATCCACTGCCACATTGCCATGCCGGGGAATCCTGGCAATGGCCCCGCGGCGGATGCTCCGCCAGTCTTGGTGGAAGCCGCCTGGATCTGTGCGTGGAAGGCCGCGGCGGCGGCGGCGGCGTGGTGAGCGTGGAGCGCCGCCGCCGGGTGTGGCATGAAGCTCGGAGGCATCGCCATCGTCTTGAGCTGCTGCTCCAGTCGGTCCTTCTCGGACTTGAGCCTCATCTTCTCCTCTCTGAGCTCGTTCTTCTCGGCCTGGATGGACGATCGAAGAGGAGAGTTTTTAAAGCTGGGAAGCTTGAGAGAGCTTGGAACTTACCTTGAGTTCTTTGATCCCGTCCCGGAGCTGCTCGTTTGATTCTTTGAGCTGCTGGGCTTCCGCGCGGAGCTGCGTGATGACACGCACCGCGTCGCTGAGGATCGTTGCCTTGTCCGACTTTGGAGGCCTTCCGGGCTCCAATGCGGCACTCAGCTCTACAAACCTGTGAAAAAAAGGAAACAAAGTTCGCGAAAAAGCTTTAGAACTTGGAAGAACAAAGTTGGCAAACCTGTCATTGAGACGGTCCCTTCGCATTTTCTCCCGGCAAGCTTTGTTCCCTGGAGCACCGCACGACTCTTCACGGGACCTGGAAACAATCTCTCGTAAACCATCAAAGATCTACCAAGGAAAAGTCGCATTGAATCGAGAAGAAGAAAGCTCACCTTTTCTTTGGACATGTCTTCTCGAATTCATCCGAATCCACTTTGGAGGAGTCATTCTCGACGCTGCAAGAACAGTAGAAAGATTTCCAATCAATCCCAAAGGAAAAAATTAGAAAGCTTGTTAACTTACCAGCAATCCACTGGATCGCAAGAAGGTTGTGAGCCCCAAAAGAGGGCACTGGAATTCTGTGACTCCTCGTCTAGAAAAGTATCCGAAAGAAAAGCCATCCATTTCTGGCTTTGCGGCGAGGACATTGCCAAAATACCCTACACCCGGCCACGCCGCGGCCAAGCCCCAATCCACACTCGGCACGGCGAAATCTCCCACACTCCCTCCCAGATCCAAGCACAGACCTCGAAATTCCCAAAATTCTCAGAATGCCGAGCCCGGCGGCTCATCCACCAGACCCGCGCCGCCGCCCAGCTCGAAAATCCGCCGCCGCCCTTGAATCCCCTCGATTCCACGCAAAAACAGTGCCGCAAAGCTCTGGCTATGGCGCTCAATCACTAATCGCGGAAAGGGTGAACCTCCACACCACGCAGCCGCCAAAAGAGTAAACGGTATATTCCACCAGGGTGAAATATTCCCGGCCATAGATAAGGCGACTCGTGGCCCGCACACTTAAAATTTTTAAAGGTAAACAAAGCGATTTTCGTACCCTAAGATCAAGCGTTCCGTATCAACAGAGAATAGACACAGAATAATCATTGACCGTACCAAATTTATGGAGAATATACGCCGCATAATCATTCAATGAAAGAATTTTAGGATGGAACATATATTGATACAGTGGACGGGAGGAGAATGCCTCGCGGTCCAAGCTTACAAAAAAAAACTTCCTCACTCTTCTCTTGAGCTTTTTCGCTTGCCTTCTACGTGTGTTCTTCCCTGTAAAACCAACTTGGATCGCTCGCTGGCTCGATTAAAGAAGATCTCGTCTAGCAGCAGCAGTAGCAACAGTGGCACCGGTTGCACAGGCACTGCCGCTGGTGCTGCTGGAGCTGCTGGTGGAGCTGCTGTTGATCCGAAAACTGGGCCAAAATCCGGGCGTGAAGAGGGTCACTGCCGCTGCTGCTAGACCAATTCGCTGGAAACTGCATCAAGAACTGCTGCTGCGGCTGCTGCTGTTGTTCTTGCTGCTGATCTTTCGGGTGTTGGTGCTGCTGCTGCTGGCTTTGCTGCTGCTGAGAGGACTGGCAGAAACCAGCCACGAAAGATGGTTTCATCACCTCCCCCTTCCAAAGATCCAGGGGCTCTCTCGTCGCCGCAAGCTGCTGCCAGTCCACCACACCATCCGGCAGCTTCGAGGCCGCCTCAGGCAAGGCACCTGAGAAGCCCCCGTTTTGATCCAGCCTGTAGATCCCGCCGCCGCTGCTCACGGCGGCCAGACTCCTACATCTCGCGGCAAACTCTCTATCCTGGGCTTCTGTGGTAACTTTCACACTCTTAGTCGATCGGCCCCAAGGAATGAAATAGCAGTGGCAACTTACCAGCTGAGCCCGAGCACCAGCTCTCGCCGAGCAAAAACGGAACGCCCCTAGAAGTCGAGTCACAAGGCTCCGGCTTTGCTGCTGTTGTTGCTGTTAGTGACATTGTTGGTGGATGGGAGAGGAGCGACTGTCCAAAGAGCTTCACGTCGCTGCTCCGGCTCAGCGGTGTCTTGGACATCGTCTCGCCCGCTTGGACGCCGGGGGTGGCAATAGTAGCAGTCGGCTCGGTCGTGATCTCCGAGTTGATGGAGGCGGAGGCGGTGGCGGCGGGGGTGATGGCGGCGGGGGTGGAGCTTCTAGCTTGCACCGTGTTCGAGGCATTCGAGGGGAAGCTGCCTCCATCTGGGGAAGTTACCGAGGCCAGCTGCTGTGTCGTTGTTGCACTCATCTCTTGAGCCAGCTGATGCTGTTCAACAATCCGGTCAAGCTTTAGGCGTTTCCGAGCTTTGCTGTAAAATGTCTTGCACTGACCTTCGTTCTTTGAGCGAACGTGCACCGCTATGCTCTTGAAATCCTTCCCGAAGAGTAACACCGCATCCAGAAACAGCTCCCTCTCCGTATCTGTCCATTCCGACTCCGCCTCCTCAACCTGTTCCCGTCTACTCCGAGAGCTACGCACCCCCTTCTGCTTGATGGAGTGCTCCTCCCGCAGCAGCGCCCTCTCACACGGACCCCTCAGTGGTGTCAGCGGCGCATCACTGCTCAGGCTGCAAACTCCCGTCACAATGCTCGAGACGTTACCCGAGCTCGTCTCCTTCCCTGGCGTAACTTTGGCCACCGCGGACGCTGCGTTGTAATCCCGGAGCCTGCCACTTGCCGCCGGGGTTGTCGTCGCCAAATAGCTTGCCCGAGAGTGACGCTTCTTCAGCTGCTGCTTCTTACGTAGCTTCTGAAACTCCTCCGTCTTCTGGTTCCGGTAGTAGAACTCCACACAGTCACCCGTCGTCTTGTGCTGCAGGAACGACGCGATCTTGGCAAAGTTCTTGTAGAACAAAGCAAACTTATCCAAGAAGAGCTTCTTCTCCTCGGGTGTCCAGGGGTTGATGCTTTTCCTCTCCTGCTCGAACTCAATGGGATCTTCCACCCGCCGGTTTGACTGCACGATATACTGCGCACTCCTCTCCCCTTGGCACAAAATCATCGATGGCATGCGTTCTGTTTCTCTATACTGACGCACGGGCTCCGAAACCACCCGCAACCACTGTTGATCTGCAGAAGGAAAGCGTTTGAGCATAATGAAAGAGGGAAAAACAAATCATCTTACCATCTGGAAGTCGCAGTTTTTGAGGCAGCCGCTGAGTAAAACCATTCCTGCCATCAGTAGCAGCATCACCCTTCCGTGTCCCATATCTGTCCCTCAACAATCTGTACTTGAGAACAAGCGACCGCTCCTTAAATCTCTGAAGATTTTTCTTGTTAAGCATCTTCTCCAGTATCCGATCTTTATTCAGCCTGTGTAACTCTTCGTTACGTATCCAAACTTCTGTTTCCTGTGGACTGCTGTAAACCTTCCTCCCACGCACAAATCCTTGAGGAAGTATGTGCCCAAAATCTTCTAAACATCGGTCAGTAATAACTTCAGGAAGTTCACCTGGTAAATTACCCGATTGAGACTCCGGCTGATCCTCCGGCTGCTGAGCAGCATCCACCATAACGACATCCGTGTCGGGATTCCCCTCCTCCGGTATTTCCACAGCAGTCTCCGTCTCTTTTGTCGAACATGGTTGCTCTTCTAGATCAGGTTGAACAGGCTGTGGCGCATCCGTCTGGACCGCAAGACTTGCCAGCTCCTTCTCGATGGACTCTATCTCAAGCTCAACCCGTTCCACCTGAAGTAGCACCGCTTCTTTGGACAGCCGAGGCTCTTCCTCCTGCTGCTGGAGGGTCTGTGCGGGCGGATCGTGAGTCTCTTCTGCCTCTCTCGGTTGCGGTGACAGAGCACACTCTTCATTACCTCTCGCAAAAGGTATAGAAGGAGATCTCGGTGTAGTCAGGGGTATGGAAGGAGACCTCGGTGCTGCCGTCGCCATGGTCTCACAAGTTAGAATGATGGGATGGTCAGTACCGCACACCACCTTGTCACTGACGCCGCTGGGCGCAGGAGTGGGAGTATGCTCTCTCGACGGCGTGAGATCTCTGTCCGAAGAAGGCAA